GTGAGAGTTATTTTTGACTTGAAATTTTCTATAGTTATAATGCTTCTTGTAGTATATTCATCACAGAAAAAAATTCAATTCGAAAAAAGATTCATTTTATCAGAGAAGCTTTTGTTTTCATAGAATTATTCATAATTGATGATGAGTGCTGCTTCATGTTTTTTGATGGTACTAAATTTCATTCTCAGCATGAAACTAAAATTTATCAGTAATTTATACATATTGTTTTACTAATTGTAAAGCTCCGTCTGCGGTATAGAAACAATCGTAACTGAAACTAAAATAAACGCTGAAATAAAGAAATTGGTACGGCTCATCACTTTATGAACAAATATCGATGATTAATATTCAATCGATATTTTCTAATAATATTAGCAAATTGCCATGAATTCCAAATAATTTACATGTGAACTTAAACTGTGGACGGCGATAAATTTCGCGTAAAAATTTTACGTCATAATTCTGTTTCTCTATTGAATTATTGAATTTTTACAACAGGACTCAAAAATAATAAAGATTATTTCGTCCCCGAACAGATTTTATATTTAATCAATTACTTTTTTTTACTTTCATTTACAGTGAAACGGTTTCGAAATAAAATTATATCTTCTAGTGACTTTTTCCTAGGCCTATCTGTTGCAAAAAGAATTGGACTAAAACTGAATGTTAAAAATAAAAAAACAGCATTACAAAAAGGGGGTAAGTTTTTTTTGGACCACCCTGTATTATCATCATTATTTTTTGTTGTTTATATTTATGAGCAAATAAACGATAATCATTTATTATAACTGATAATCTTCGTTTCAGTATTATGCCGTTCAAGTTCGAGTGAGCAGTTTATAGCGATCTCTCGTTATTTAAGACAGGCATACCTCTATATTAATTCCTATTTAGCCTATGTAAGTTGTGAAGGTTAAAATCTCAAATATAAGAAAACGAGAGACTCACAATTGGTGGAGAAGTTGGAGACAACTTTTGTAGGCTTCTACTTTTTTCTTTTCTCTCTTCTTCTGTTTTTTTTTGTCCTTATTTCATTTGCCCAATGCTTCACATTATCTTTTCGTCGTAGTTATATGTGTACGTTGTCGCAATCATTTAACATTATTTCATTGAATAAATCTAAATGAGTTAAAAGATACACAAGAAATCATTGCTACAAATAGTAAGAAAGATAATTTTGATGCATTCATTTCCCATCACTTCGTTCCGTTCTCGTCGAAACAAAGTTTTATTGAATGGTTAGATGAAACCGAACGTAGACTTACTCAGTTAGGAGTGTCACAGAACTTGCGGTTTGAAGCTATCTCGCTTTTAGTCAAGAATGATGTTAAACACTAATACATAGAAGTTCGAAAGAATATTCAATCTTTTAATGATTTTTATAAATATTTATGGTCAGAATTTGACATAAACGATTCTTTTTCATCTGAAACGAAATTTCATCAAAATTTTTCGAATAATTTGTCTAATGGAGAATTTATATATCAAAGTACAATAGCTGATAACCTAAAGAGAAAATGCACCGATCATCTAGATACCATATGTTCTTAATGTGAAGCACCAGTATCGCAGTCAAACTTTATTGTTGATTTTGATGTCACCAATATTATTGGTGAGATACCAGAGGAGCAATCAATGATAGTTACTTCTGCCTATTCTACGACTGTAGTTGATCGAACAATCAATGATCGTCAGAATACGACGCTGGAACATTTGATAAAAAAATCCTAACATATACAAAAGTTACAAAGGCAATATCAAAAAATCGATCTCTAAAATTCAATATTGTTGTAATGAGACTCATGTTTCTGATTCTAATCGATCAGATTTTGTCTCTTATCCATTGCGACGGTATCTTTCTCAATGATTGAAAAATAATAATAGGGTATCAGCTGCAGGGAACGTCTTCATATATAAAAAGAGGATGTGGATGTGGCTATAAGTGTGTGAGTGTGATTGACCGACATTTCCGCGCCGACGTTACCGCGGACGACACTTTCGTGCAACGACATGTTCGCGCATGGACATTTCCGCGCATCATATTGTTTCATTGACACTTAGAACAAGAATTTTTTTTCACTCATTCAACTTAATTCATTTTATCTGCTGTGAATAATTGTTCTATTTTTGTTATTAGACTAATGATAAGAATAAAATGTTAATTCAGATCATAGGATTAATTAATTAAGAACAAAGAAATATGATTAAAATCAGACTTAAAATAACGTGGATTAAATAAAAGAACATGAAGAAATTGAAATCTCGATATCATTTGATAAATTTTTAACTCAAAGCTATGTCTATCATTCTTTCAAGTAAAAATAAAGATCAACTTCTCTTCGAGCGTTTTCGTTATCGTCGTGACAGATCGGTTTGGCGGTGTATCAAAGACAAGTGCAAAGATCGTGCTCGATTTGATGGAAATATTTATGAAGCATATAAAAATCATACATGTCAAGCACCAAATCCAGAAGAAATTGAAAAAGCTGTATATAATTATGAAGTCCGAAAAAAAAGCTGAAAATTCTCATGATCCACCACGTTTAATAATTCAAGAAGCAAGATTAAAATTATCTTCAGACGCGGCTGCTGTTGTTCCACAATGTTTAGCATCACAACGTTCAGTTCAGCGTACCCAAAAGGATAATGATATTCCAAAAGAACCTACTTCGTTTAGTGAAATTGTTATTCCACTTAAATTTCAATTAACAACTTCAAATCAACAATTTTTACTATATGATAACGATGATAATCAAAATCGATTATTAATATTTGCAAGTCGAGACCAACTGGATCTTCTTAATGGATGTGAAATATGGCATTGGGATGGTACCTTCGCGGTATGTATTTGAAATAATATTTAAACCTTATAATATATTTGTTGTTGTACTCATAGGTTGCACCAAAATTATTTGAGCAAATGTATTCTATTCATGGCTTAATTCGTGGAAAAACATTACCGTTAATATATTCTCTTTTACCAAATAAAAAAGAAGAAACATATGAAACATTATTTCGAGTAGTACAACAGCATGTTCAACGCGTACCACGTTATATAACAATAGATTTCGAAAAAGGAGCAGAAAATGCATTTGCTATTGTGTATCCTCAAAGTCAAATGCTTGGTTGTTTTTTTCATTTTAAGCAAAATATTTGGAGGAATGTTTCAGTAAGTTTAATATTATTTTCTGCTATATGTAGTGATTTTTCTTCATTTTTTACAGGAACTTGATCTGAAAAAAGAATTTCTTGAAAATAACATTAGTCGTCGTACTATGAAAAATTTAGCAGCATTAGCATTTGTTCCTGAACAAGATGTCATTCGAACAGTTACTAAAATTAAAGAATCTGCTAATGAAATCTTAGACGGTAAAAACCTTTATCTTTATGCATACTTTCACTATTTGAAACGTTGAACTTTTAGATCTGATTATATACTTTGAAGACAATTATATCGGCAGAAAAATGTCAAGAAATCGTAGAAGACATCCTCGATTTAATATCTCTATGTGGAATTGTTTTACAAGAATTAACCTCGATTTACCCAGAACTAATAACAGAATATAAGGCTGGCACAACGCTTTTCATGTAAGAATATATAATTATATATCTTTAAACTTAACTATGGATCAACTTTTTGTAGAATATCGTTGATGATCATCCAAGCTTTTTCGAATTTCTCAAAGATATTATTAGAGAAGAGAAAAATACAAATGTTGTTTCAACTCAAATGCTCGTTGGTACAACTACACAAACTAAACGAAAAAAATATGAAAAGATCAATGATCGCATCAAAGATATGGTGAAAAATTATCACGATATTTCACTCGAAGATTATTTGAAAATAGCGAGATCAGTATTTAATTTTTGAAGTTCTAACTCTATTCACTTGCTGTGCGATGTTATTTGTGTAATTCTTTTTTTGTATGTATTTGGTCAATAACTTGATACTCATTGAAAAGGATATCTATTAACTTGAATATATGAAAGCAATTCGTCAGGTAATAATCAGTGAAATAGTATGATGCGCGGAAATGTCCATGCGCGAACATGTCGTTGCGCGAAAGTGTCGTCCGCAGTAACGTCGGCGCGGAAATGTCGTGTCACGTGTGAGTGTGAGTATGAGTGTGACTGTTTTTCTGAAAAAAATCTCCACACTCACACCTACATCCACTGATATTCTACATCCAACATTCGCATCTACACCCACGCCCCACACACACTTCAAATAGCATATTATTCTTGCTTTAACTCAGAAGAAATTGCCTCTATACTAAAAGCTTATTCAAGACTTAAATTGTATTTTAAAAATAGTTGTGTTGATTTTTAAGTTCGATACTCGCAAAGTTATTTCATGAAGTATTCATATGATGTCAAAGTAAAATTGAGTGGAGGATGCAGTACCTCCACCATTTAGGTTCACCCAGAATGAAACGGTATATATACTACCGATTGATGCTGTAAACGATTGTCCGAGAAAATTGATGATAGCAGTGCAACCATCTTGAAAGCAATTACCAATTGCCGAATTGCAGGTGCTGCCAGTAATAATTACCGTTGCAGGCGCACTACACGTAGACGTACAGAATCGTTCCCAGCCTTCTAATGTACTTGTAGAGTTATCGAAGCCACCATTTTGGAGCAGCTGGATATTGGATGCATTAACATTAACCACGGATACCGTATCTAGAAGAAATTGACGATTACTTGTACTTAGAAACCCAAAAAGAAGCATGGGTGATGTAGTAGTTGCTGTGAAGTTATATTTATACTGAGTCCATGAGCTGGGATTCGTCCCTGGTACGCTGAAAATAGTTCCACGACCACTCGATGTGCAATTGATCACTGTGAAATTTTAAAAAGTCAAGAATCGAAATGTAATCCTATTAACATACCCCTCTGTGTAGTTGTTGTTGTCGTAGTTGTTGTCGATGTTGTTGTTGTTGTTGCTGATGTTGTACTGGTGGTTGAACTAGTGCTAGTTGAAGATGTCGTAGTTGTCACCGATGTAGTACTAGTGCTTGTTGAAGTAGTACTGCTGGATGTCGTTGTTGTTGTCTCAGATGTTGTGCTCGTAGATGTACTAGTGCTAGATGATGTCGTTGTTGTTGTCTCTGATGTTGTACTGGATGTTGTTGTTGTTGTTTCTGAAGTTGTACTACTTGTTGAGCTGGTACTGGTTGATGTAGTTGTACTTGTTTCCGATGTAGTACTGGAACTGGAAGTACTAGTAGAGGTGGATGTTGTTGTTGTTGTTTCTGAAGTTGTACTACTTGTTGAGGTGGTACTGGTTGATGTGGTTGTAGTTGTTTCCGATGTAGTACTGGAACTGGAAGTACTAGTAGAGGTGGATGTTGTTGTTGTTGTCTCGGTTGTTGTACTAGTAGTTGTTGTGGTTGTCTCCGATGTTGTGCTTGTTGTGGATGTTGTAGTCGTTGTCTCGGATGTAGTGCTGGTTGTTGAACTAGTGCTAGTTGATGACGTTGTAGTTGTTTCCGACGAGGTGCTGGTGGTTGAAGTAGAGCTGCTGGTAGTGGTTGAAGTAGAGCTGCTAGTGGTGGTTGAAGTAGAGCTGCTAGTGGTGGTTGAAGTAGAGGTGCTAGTGGTGGTTGAAGTAGAGGTGCTGGTGGTGGTTGAAGTAGAGCTGCTGGTAGTAGTTGATGTAGAGGTGCTGGTGGTGGTTGAAGAAGTGCTGCTGGTAGTAGTTGATGTAGAGCTGCTGGTGGTGGTTGAAGAAGTGCTGGTGGTGGTGGTTGAAGTAGAGGTACTGGTAGTGGTTGAAGTAGAGCTGCTAGTGGTGGTTGAAGTAGAGGTGCTAGTGGTGGTTGAAGTAGAGCTGCTGGTGGTGCTTGAAGTAGAGCTGCTAGTTGTGGTTGATGTAGAACTAGTGCTGGACGTTGTTGTGGTCGATGTTGTGGTAGTGGTTTCTGTGGTACTCGTAGTCGAAGTGGTACCTACAAAAGAAGGTCGGTTATATCTCTTCCTTCTCATTATTACTTGATTCTAACTAGGAATTATGTTCCTGTATCGATATCAGATGCTTATTTTCGTGATTTTGAAGCGAAGTTTTGTTTAATTGTGTGAAAATAATTCGCTGGTGTGAACGTTGGTCTTATCTGCTCTCACAGTCATCCAAACCCGCACACACACTTACACCCGGCATTATTATTATGGCCAAGGCATTCTACTTTTATTCATGCAGTAAAGCTTTCTATATAAGCTATTTCATGAATTTTTAAACACTATGATCAAAACTGTTTGTCAACCCTAAGTTTATATGATTTATGAAATCGTTCTTCCGTACATGGGAAACGTCTGAAATGGTTTGGTTTTCTGTGGTGAATTTTCTGTGATGTTCTTATGATAAACAAGCTTCAAAAATTTCTCTTGTTGAATCTCTTTATGTTACTGTCCATACAACAATTGAAGCTTTTGTTATTTGCAAAAATATAATGAACAAAATGCACAACAGAGAAAGGTAATACGATATAGGTGACATCCTGACATAGGAATTAACATTAGAGAAACTATGGATTAGCTTAAATAAATCTTAAAATGAATATCGAGGGTTTATCTTACTTGTTGACGTAGTACTTGTCGCCGACGTTGTACCTATAAAATTGGCTTCACTTTCATTCTCTTCTAAGCAAAGAGCTTCTTACTTGTACTTGTTGCCGATGTACTTGTGGTAGCAGTTGTAGTAGTTGCTGTTGTAGCTGAAATCAATGACTGATGATATGAGCTTGTAAACAATAAATGACTTCTATTCTCGATTGGAGAAGTAACGCTGCCGTTTAAGCGATAGACTTCATTTTCAAAAAATCTATGATACCTCACCGATCGTGAGCAATGGCAAATGACATCGGAAGATTTTAGAATAAATAGTGCGCCTTTCAAGTCTTTAGTTAAAAAATTGACTCGTAACTATCCGTGAAAATATGGCAACAAAAAAATGGTGTTTCTTATGCTAAGTGTGACATTCGTTTTGCTAAAAAATGAATATCTCATATTATTTTACAACTCTTAGGACAAAAGGTCTTTGAATGTGAGTTCGTCGATAAATCTCTAGTACAGCCTCTCTCTCAAAGGATATGAAGGTTCTTGTCGGTATGAATATCTTTTTCGTCCACAAATTCCTTTTTTTTGTTAACGAAATGAAACGTTTCTCCATAGTTAGGCAACAAAAGAAACATAAGATGTCTGCTTCGCTAAAAAAACGTTGTAGGGATTAGAAATGCAACAGTGACGGTGCACCGGTGAATTTTTGTTTTATTCCTGTATTTATAATACGTGGTACACCCTAGAAACTCGCGCACTTAATTTTCCGATAAGAATTGATCTCTCGTCGTAATAAAGTGATTTTTGCAAATGCTCATCGGAAATTCGAGATATGGCGGAGAACCAAGCCGGTAAGGGTATAGAAACCTACGGTGAAGACCGGCGTATTGGTATCAATGAGTGCATTGAGCCTTACGTTATCTGAGTAATAGTGGAAACCGGTCATCACCGTAGATCTTCGTGGCTCTAAATTGACAGTATTGATCTTAACTATGGATGCAGCGGTGAAGATCATTCACCGGTTAACCATCACCGTTCCATCGGTCCAATCAGATAACTGTATCTACGATTATCGGCCCAACTACAATTACCGTACTTACGGTTAACCGATTTAACTACGATTACCGTAGCTACGGTTACTGATCTAACTAAGATAACCGTACCTGCGGTTATCGTCACCGTTGCATCCCTAATCTTAAGGGCGATAGTCGAATCTATATTCTTCACTAGACGACGCTATGATAAATGAAATATTTCCTTCATATCTGATTACACTGATTCAGGTAATAAAAGGGCCAGCTGAACCATGAAAATATGAGTCTATGGGCTTTTTTATTTCAAACTGAATTCTAAAATCAAAAAAACCACACCAATTTCTTCCGAATCAAACTTTTCTCGCTTGATACTACGTAGTCTCACTAAAAACCCTTAGTCCCCCCTAGTCCTGCAAAGTCCCCCTTAGTCCCCCCCACAAAAAGCTTAGTCCCCGCTTAGTCCCCAGTGCAGGGGACTAAAGCCTATAGTACACAAAACCACAAGCACACCCTCACCCTCACTCGCGCGCCCACACCCGCACCATGGGTGTGGGTGTGTGTGGGTCCCAGACCAACACCCACACCCTCAGTCACCCCCCCCTCACTCCTAGACTCACGTTTCAGTTTGAAATCAAGTATTATTTTTATTTGATAAATTCAGACTGAAATTAAATAGCCCATTGTATGGAAAATATATGGTAATGACTGGTGTAACAGCATCAGTGACTGATGCAACCATGCAGACTTCCGAATAATGGCTGAACTTCGCCATCTCTGTAAGTTCTTGATATTCTAACCGGCCATATTCACCTAATCCTGAGGATTGAAACTGTATTCTTGCTTTCAGAGTGTGGTGGTATACGAGACACACTTTCGGGCACGAATATAATGATCAGGCTAACAGCATCGCCGGTGACAAAATGAAAGCCTACGGATACGACTACTAAACGGACATCACCGGTTATTTTGAGCTTCGACTAGTCCGTAAAATTCTATGAACCGGCTCTCACCGTAGGTTGCCGTTCTCTTCACCAGCAGTTTTAGGGTTCATAGCGATGGTCAAAACCAAATAACTGAGTGCATGACGAGACGGCAGATAAAAAGTTTTATCTCAGATGAGTGACTACGAAGCCAGTTACAGAACCGGTAGAGTCACGAAAATCTACGGTGATGATGACTACATGGGTATTACTGGTTATCCTGAGCCTCAATGAATCTGTAAGATGTAAGAAACCGGCCATCACCGTAGGTTTCTGCCGTCCTCACCGATATTATTGGCCTTAAGGATGTTTGTTTATATCCCATTCCTAAGTTATTTGCATAAGTATCTTTCATATTCAGTTAGCTTTACGCCGGCAAATTTCAGTTATATGAACATACTAATACTGGCTGTCATATGCCTATAGTCAATAGCGCATTCGTGAAGTAGTCACTATATGAAAACGGCTTATGAAATTTGTGAAATACGATCGTATATCACAGCAGCTAGATGGATATCGACTGAATATACACTTCTCGATTATGAAATGATCCATTTCACTCTTGATAGGCATCAGTTGGACCTGATGAGCTATAATTGTAGTACGCTGTGACCGGTGCTTACGATGAATCTGTGGAGCGGTGGCACCGGTGAACCGATGACTCCGTGGTCACCGTCACCGTTGCATCCTTAGTAGGGATGACACTGTGAAGCAGACTCTTTTTCAGCAGGTCAGGTTGGAAGAGAAAGAAGAAAAGGGAAAACTCTGTTTGAAGAGAGTAGTGGATAATCTACCGGTCCAATCAGTGTCGGTTTGTATAAAAAGCTTTTCAAAATGATGCCAACATTGAATAATGTGTAGCATCTTGAGAGTATCACACCTAACTATTCTTGAATTAGGATTTGAATAACTACAGAAGCTACTACTTTGTGCCATGTTTGTTTGGTTATTTCAGTCCCTATGTAATTCGAACTCAATATCGCATACGCTTATAGAACTGATAATCGATTTACTGATTCCTTACTTGTTACACTAGTCGTAGTTGTAGTTGTTGCAGTAGTAGCCGTTGTTGATGTTGTCGTCGATGTTGGCGCACCCGTTGATCCTGCTTTCAATCAAATCTTTTGTGTGATTTCAAATAGTCTGGCTAAAAAAATCTACTTAGCAAGAGGCCAAGCACGAGAGCTGTGATTCCACCCAGTATGAGAATCGTTGTTGCTACCAAAGCAAAAATACCCAATGGCTTGTGGAAAAGATTTCGGCTGCATGACAAAAGAAATACAATATTTTCTTAGTGTCACATTCCCGCAAAGTGACCTTCAGTCATCTGCTTACATACAAGAAGACATATCCTCTTTGTTTTTTACAAAAATGAACAGTTTTGCTTGTAACAGTGGTATTTCCTATTTCTTTCAATCTCATATGTAAGCGTTATATTTGTGTTGCGTTGCACAACAGAAGTAATATTATTCATTATGAACTTTAAAATTTTTCATTAACACATGTGATAAGTTAACAGAACTTAAAAATTTCATAAGATAATTTAACTTGCTAATGCAATGACGGATTATGCATACTGTAAACTTGCGAAAGGGAATCGTAACTTACCCTTCGTTTTTGGAATATTGCATGGCAGATAAAATCCGTCTCTAATCCAAATCAGATAGTCGTTCCGTTTATACTAAATACTTTTATTTTACAGTTTTCTGTATTTAGTGACAACCATGTTAGCTCTCTACATAAGACGAAAGTTTAACTGCTTAGATTAGCCTATGGATACTCTTGTGTTTATATTTCTGAATCACTCGTCTATTTAGTTAGCTGGGCATTCACTTCCCATTCTAAAGTAGTTGGGCGATCCTCTCACTGAAGAATGATCAAGGCATGTCGCATAGCTATTTTTATTGGCAACTTACACGATTAGTGTTCCTCGACTCGTTAAGACATTTGTGTTCCCTTGCAAAGAACGTATATTAGATCGCAGCATTTTATTTTGACGGTTATTGTTTTGCATTAAAGCTGTGTCCTGAAACAAAAATTATTCAAAAGAATCGTATGCCTTTTGTTTTATTACTCACCGCTGAAAGTCGGATATCAATAGTGTTTACATTAAGTTGCGGTGGGCTACCCGTTTTTGAGTGTTCAGTCGGTCTTACATAATTTTTTCGCGTATAACGCACATTAATGTAATCACTCGCTGGTTGTTTTCTTTTCCCATTCACTACTAGATCGCCAATAGCCTGGCACGTGAAGAGGTCGCGCTTTGAAGCACCATTGACAATAGCATGACCTTGAGCCGTTAAATACTCTTGGTTTTTCTTTCGTATATCTTCTTTGTATGTAGAGGAAAATTCAAGTCCTCTTGGATTAATATGCGTGATACCGATTTGATTTTCAGTGAGATTCACGGGAGCATAGCTTTGACCTATCAAATACTCCCTTTTTCCCTTCCATATATTTTTTTCGCAGAAATTAGGTTGAAGCTCAGTTTGGTTAACATGAGTCACTTGAATATTGTTTTGAGTGAGCATCTGTCCTTCTTGGTGTAAGATTGGATTGCATTTATTGGTGGTTAACGTCAAAAGATCATC